ATGTTGAGACTCTAGAAAGAGTGCAGAGAAGAGCAACCAGGATGATTAGGGGACTGGAGACTAAAACATACGAAGAACTGTTACAGGAACTGGGCATGGCTAGTCTAGTGGACTAGGGCAGAAATGATAGTGCTCCAACATTTGAGGGACTGCAACAGAGAGGAGGAGGTCAAGCTATTTTCCAAGGCACCTGAAGGGCAGACAAGGAATGGAATGGATGGAAACTGATCAAGGAAAGATTCAACCTAGAAATAAGGAGGAATTTTCTGACAGTGAGAACAATCAATCCATGGAACAGAAGCTGCTTTCAGAAGTTGTGGGAGCTACATCACTGGAAGCTTGCAAGAAGACACTGGATTGCCATCTGTCAAAAATGCTGTAGGGTTTACTTGGATGGAGGTTGGACTACATGACCTGCATAGGTCCCTTCCAACTCTGTTAATCTGTATCTGTAAACATTCAGACATGATAGGCAGCAGCGCTCAGGGGCTTAGCAGTCAGAGAAAGTAATTTAGGATGGACCCGCCCTAAGATTAGACTGAATAGTAGGAGCAAACAACATAATGCAGTCATAGGTGATATGAAAACAAATCTGTCTTGTAAACTTTGTACAGATTTTAAGAAAATTTACTTCTAGCAATATTATATATTCAGAAATGGAATCATAGCAGAGTTTACAGTCATTTCTATGGCATTTTTGTCCATATGTCTTAAAGAATTTATGGCTAATATTGGAAAAAATATCAAGTACTGGCATAATTAAAGATTAAAGCTATGGCTCCTTGCATTTTAAGTCCTACTTCATAAAGCACCATAAATCAATCTTTGGGTTGACTGTTCTCATATTATTTTGGTCTCTTTCTTGATCCAAGGCACAAATTTGCTGACCTTTGTATAAACACCAGGGGAATCCTTTTGCCCACAGCCATATCCCCAGGAAGTAATCCCTAGAATTACCCATTGTGTATTTGGTCTTTGACACACCAATGGTCCTCCACTGTCCCCTTGACAGCTGTCTACCCGATTGTCTTCAGAAAGGTTTCCAGCACAGAGCATCCGATTAGTAAATTTCTTTCCATAACGAGATGTGCATACTTTTCTTGGGAGAAGAGGCACGGTTCCCTGGAGTAACATCCTTGAGTATGATTTTCCTGGAAGAATAATTAATATTCAACACAGGGAGCAACAAAATAGAAAAAAATCATTGCAAGGTTAGATCTATAACTTTATAGGATAAGGCTTTTAATGATAGTTCATAGTACTTTTTTTTAAAACAAAGTTCATTTTGTTGTGAGCTATCTTGGAGGCTCGCCATTCTGATTTAAATGGTTTTTTTGTATTTACTCTTATTTATTTAAAATATTTTATCCCATTTTTTTAAAGTTAAAAAGCTTTCAAAGAAACTAACAAAAATAATTAAAATGAATTTAGAATGGGATCTAAAGAATGGGTAGCTAAACTAAATAAGGCTAGGAACAAAGGTGGATTGTTGGTGAAAATCCAGGTCTCTGGAATCGGAGAGACCTGGAGGCAGAACTTCCGTCTGTCCGAAGACGTCTCCGTGGTCATGCGGCTTGCATGACTCAACACCAAAGTGACATGGAGCGCTGTTACCTTCCCATCAAAGATGGTTTCTATTTTTCTACTTGCATTTTTACATGCTTTCGAACTGGGAGCTCACTCGGTTACACAGCGCTAGGGATTTGAACCACCGAACTTTCTGATTGACAAGTTCAATGTCTTAGTCACTGAGCCACCTCGTCCCTCTATTTTAAATTACATAGATTTAAAGAATGGCATACTCTGCATAATAAAAAGTAAAAAAAAAACAGAATAAATAAATTATCACCCTAATTCAGTAAATATAGAAATACTTTAATTATATTCTCTTTTTTTTTTACTCAAGTATACAGTACTCCTTTTCAGCAGTCCAAATTTGCAGATGCACATTGTACAATTTAGACAAAAGGATAACTTAAGTAGCAAACCTTGGAAAACAAGACCCATCCTGAATAAAGGCAACCAATCTTCAGATATGGAATACTGATGCTAAGAAATAGTAGTACTAATATTTCACCAATTATTTTCTAATACAGAGGTCCCCAACCCCTAGCCTATGCAAGCAGCAGGCAAATGTGCATGGCGCAGCTCCATTTGCGCAAGCAGCAGGCGTTCTCTTGCGCATATGGAGCTCCATTTGTGTGAGTGGCGGGCACACCCAACACTCACGTAAATGGAACTTCATATGTGCGCACAAGTGCCCACCACTTGCGCAAATGGAACTGCACATGTACAGATGCTTGGAACCATTTCCTCTCCCCTCCCCTGAGAGTTTGCACAGCCAGAAAGGATGGGGACCACTGTTCTAATACACAATGATTCAGAAGGAGTTGATACTTCAGTGATTGTAATTTTGGATTTCATTAATAACACTGCTTTATTTTAGGATTAGTTCCTACTGAAGATGCCCTTAGCTCTTAGTACTGTGCTAGTCCTTAAGAATCCTGAGAATTGTAAAGCAAATTCTGTTCTAGTACACTATTAAATGCTAGGTGTAATTCCTTGGAGCACTCTAAAGGCCAGGATGGGTCTGTAACAGAATATTTTACTAATCTGGAATTTAAATACATAAAATAGTTTGCAGGAAAGATTGAAAATAATTTACACCTTACACTGAATTAATGACCCTATCATCTAAAATAATCAAAACAATCAAAAAGAATTCATAAAATTCATTTTTAAAATTGTCTTACTTCTGGATGTAAAATTATTGATCTGGTGTAGTGCACTTACAAGGAAGAAACAGAGTTGGTATTCAATAATTCCTCAAGTACTATATTTTTTAACTGCCCAGTTTTTGTCTCTGCAAGTAGACCTCCTTTAGCAGTTGTCTTGTTTAGTATCTGTTTGCAGTTATCATGAGGATGGAAAAATGACTTTGCAACCAATCTTTGTATTTACAAACTTGTATGTAAAGTAAAAAGGTGAAGTAAAATCTTAAGCAGAGTTATGGTTTCACTTAGCAACTGCTTTTCTTAACAACCAAGTTCCTGGCCCCAGTTGTTGCTGAACAAGGATTACTTGTATTCCAAAAAGGGAAATGTTGAGAGGCGAAAGATTACGGTAATTGTAGAATTTATTTATTTATTTATTAGACTTATATACCGCTTCATAGGGCTTTCAGCCCTCTCTAAGCGGTTTACAAATTTTTAGCAAATTGAGTCAGCAACTTGCCCCCACAGTCCGGGTTCTCATTTCACCTACCTCGGAAGGATGGAAGGCTGAGTTGACCTTGAGCCGGTGAGATTTGAACCGCTGAACTGCAGATCACAGTCAGCTAAAGTGGCCTGCAGTACTGCACCCTAACCACTGCGCCACCTCGGCTCTTATTTAGGTAGTAATCTGAGAATTTCTACATGTTTAATACAATAGCATGTCTTATTTTTCCTACTTATGGTGATTTTATTATGTTTTAGCTTAATTAATATTTCATCTCGGATATTGCATTGTCCATGTTTTGTGTGTGTGTGTGTGTGTGTGTGTGTGTGTGTGTGTGTGTGTGTGTGTGTTTGTGTGTCTGTATAAAAACCATGTATAAATATGTGTGGGTATATGTGTATTTCTCTGGGTATAAAAATGATCTATTTAAAAAGTAGTATTTACTACTGTATTCTTTACAAGTGGACTCATAGAGTCTTTATAAGCAATGTTGAACTCAAAACAAAAAAGAGAAAATGTAAAAAAAGAGGGAGAGAGAGAAATAGCTTTCTGATAGAGATTAGTCTTTTGTCCTCCCTTCTTGTGGTTAATATTGAAATAACACTTAAGTACAAAGAATCAGCTTGTGGTTTGTGGTTCCAGGGGAAAGAATTAAACAAAGAGATAAAGAATAAAAGCAAAGAAAGGAAAATCATTCCTTTCGTTTCCCACAGCCATTCACAAAATATAATCATTCAACTCACAGGAGGATTTACTGCCTTCAAACAGAGAGATTGTCCTTCTCTTGCTCCCCCTCCCTCTTTCCCTTACTTTAGCAATTGCTGCTTAAGGGAAAGTTACAAAGAGCATATAAATATAAATAGAGGTGACATAATAGCAGTCTTCCAATGTTTGAGGGGCTGTACCAGTAGGGAAGGTGAGTGACTAAGACCCCTGAGTGGAGTGGAATGGCTTCACAAGTCATGAATGTTTCATCACTGGAGATTTTTAAGAAGAGACTGAATAGCCATTGTCTAGGGCCGTGATGGCAAACCTATGGCACGTGTGCCAGAGGTGGCACGCAGAGCCCTCTCTCTGGGCATGTGCGCCAACCAGGTGCTCTTTCGGGTTTCAGCATGCGCACGCATGCTGGCCAGCTGGTCTTCGCACGCGGGAGTGCCGGAAACCAGAAGACCAACTGGCCAACGCACACATGTGCACCAAGCAGCTGCTCTTCCGGTTTCCTGTGCACATGCACGAAGACCAGATGGTCAGCATGCATGCATGCACCAGAACACAGAAGAGCAGCTGGCCGCACTGGGCAGCTGCTATTCAGGTTTCCGGTACTCCCACGTGCACAAAGACCAGCTGGTACATTCTTGGCTCTGGCATACGTCTGCACCCGCATTCTGGTTTCGGCACTTGGTGCCGAAAAGGTTCGCCAACACTGATGTAGGGCAGTGCTGGGTTGCAAATCCCGTTCCAACTGGTGCGTTCAAGCACCTCCGCAATGCTCCAGCTGCTCCGCGGAGCATTGCTTAAGTGCTGTATGTGCCATGTGCCTGCGCGGAAGTGCAGAAGCCTTTAAATCCGGTAAGGATCTCGGGCGGGCAGGTGGGCCCTCTGGAGCACCGTACCGGAACAGTATCCAGTGCTCCGGGCTGGCTCCGGTACGCCCGTACCAGGGCATACCACCTGCAACCTACCACTGATGTAGGGTCTCCCACTATGGGCAGAGGGCTGTACTAGAAGACCTCCAAGACCCTTCCAAACCCCTTTATTCAATGATCTACGTTCTAAATATACCTCCTTAGCAACCAACTACTGGAAAGACATAGTGCGGAAGAGCAAGGCTAGGGGTAGTCTCCACCTGGATGGGCATCAACCCCTCCATTTTGCCAGGTGTGCTTTACACAAACATCCCCCACAGTAGGTATCTCTAGTATAATGAAGAGAAGGACTAGGGGTGATATGATAGGAGTCATGGTGGCGCAGTGGTTAGTATATAGAACTGCAGGCTATCTCTGCCTACCGCCAGGAGTTCGATCTTGATCGGCTCAGGGGTTAATTTCAACCTTCTATTTTTCCAAGGTCAGTAAAATGAGGACCCAGATTATTGGGGGCAATATGCTGACATTTGTAAATAGCTCAGATAATGCTGTAAAGCACAATGGAGCCATATATAAGTCTATGTGCTACTGCTATTGCTACAATAGCAGTATTCCAGTCACCTACTCAGCAGGGGGTTGGACTAAAAGACCTTCAAAGTCCCTTCCAACTCTGTTATTCCATATTCTTTGATGATGGCAACTGTAGTACAACACATCTGGAGATCATCAGAGAAACAGTTGGAAGGGACCTTGGTGGCCTTCTAATAGTTCAACCTTCTGCTCAAACAGGAGACCCTATATCATTTCAGACAAATGGCTGCCCAATCTCTTCTTAAAAACCTCCAGTGATGGACTACTTAAAACTTCTGGAGGCAAATTGTTCCACAGGTTAATTGTTCTCACTGTCAGGAAATTTCTGCTTAGTTCTAGGTTGCTTCTTCTTTCCATCCATTGCTTCTTGTTTTGCCTTCTGCTGTTTTGCCAGGCTCAGAAGATTGATCTGTCATATATATTTTTTTGAAATATAACTAAATAACTATATAAACTAGTAGGGGCATTTCTGAGTATAGTAGTGGGGCTTTTATTTTATTTATAAATGGGATTTATTTGTTTTTATTTATTTTAAATCATCCATTTCCCTCATATGGTTTCCTATTTACATTCTTTTTAGAAACTACTGGGTGTAAAATATATACATTCGTCTATGATATAAATCAGAACTATAGGATAAATCATGTCATATTTCATACCCATCGTTCTACCAATGAAGTCTTCAACAGGTTTACAGGCTACACAGTGACAGTTCATAGTGACACTAGGAAAGCTTCTTGTAAGTTGAAACGTTTTATTACATGCAGTAGCTAACCTGGCTGCATTTCTCTCCATTTTAAAAGCAATATTATTTAATTTCAAGTTAATTTGACAACATTCACTGTTTTTGCTTTCCATAGATTATTTGTTATATACTTAAAACTCTCATTCTGTATGAGTCGGTAAAGGCCATCAAAGTTTTCCAAAGTTGCAAATAGGGAGGATTAACTTCTCTTTTTATTCTTCGATGCCCCATGTGGAAGTTATGAGGCAGCCCAGCACTCACCTGTATCCCCCCAGCCTGATATGACGCAAGACTTTCGGTCCACTTCAGCTTTCTGCTTCCCAGCAGGGAGGCAAACTGGGAAGACATGGTGGTTGAAGGAAAGACATTTCCCCTCTTTGCCCCACATCCTGACCAGAGCAATGTCATTATCATTATTGCTCGGCCGATAATTTCTATGAAGGAGGATCTTCTCTACCGGCAACTCTCTCTCCGACTCATCTCTCACACCGGTATGGTGGTCTCCCACCCGCAGAAGGTAGCGCCGAACGTCTACCCCAAATCTGCCCGCAAAAGAGTCAAAAAAACCAGTTAGTTTTCAATGAAGATGTTTCATGTTTCTTTCAACTAGAAAGGATCTTTCTTAAGGAGCGATGAGTCAATTAAAAACACCTCCTCTGCCATCCTACACACACAAGATATAATCATATATTACATTACTCACTTTAGGCAGATATTTTATATTCCTCAAAAATATGACTAAGACACCCATAAATAAAACCAACCTGAAGTCCTTGAGAGGGTGGTGCACTACGCAGAGCAGGGTCTGTTGTGAACAAGCTCTATTATGACTTAGCATGATGTGGGGACCCAGCCATTATTGGCACACTGGCATACCCAGCTGGTGCCAGCATAACCGTCTCTTGCCAAAGCAGCTGGACGTCAGTCCATGCTGGCAATGAAACTGGTGAGCAGTGCTGTCTTAATAGCTTGCTAAAGTTACAATGGTTGGGGAATTCCCTGCGGATGGGGAAATCCTTCATGGCTATTGCTTGCCCTATTGAAGGCCGAGGCTGAGGAGAAGGGAAATTCTGACAGGTGGTTAGAGCAGCTGAAGCAATGAGATTTGCTTTCTGTCAGAGGGTAGGAAGGGGGCATTACCCCTGGATCACTTGCAGTGCCTGATCCACAGGGTTGCCATTTCTGTTATCCCACCTCTGTGTGTCAGGCCCAGAGGTGGGGGTGCTTTCAGATATAGTAGGGGAGGCTTCCCATGCCACCTGTCTTCATGCCACAGGAAGGACCAGGGAGGTAATAATATGACTTTGCTATCTACTGACATGCCATCTAGGGGTGGAGACTGCATTGATTGAAGCAACAATCCCACATCAGCCCGCACAGCATACTGTATGGCATTAGGGCAGCTTATGGGGGGGAGAGTAGATGAATCAGGAGCAACCCCTATTTCAGGTAGTGTCTCTACCATGAGTCTTTTACACGCCAGGAGGGGAAGAGTGGAAAAAGGATTTGTCATAAGCAGCCAATAGGAGCTGGACAGATCCATTCTTCATCAATATGCCTCATTAATTAGATCACCACCAAAGTGTGACACAATGGGCAAATATAATGCTTCTGAAAAAAAAATGTGTAAAATATTAACACAAGTTGAGTTTAAAGAAACTCAAAGTCCACTGGCATCAGTTATAAGCTGCACATAAAAAGAAAGATATAGGATGAGATGACTTTAAAGGATGGTTAGCCATCTACCCTCAAGTTGAATTTAGGAAGACATGAAGAGGTTTTCTATGACATGTTCACAAGCCATGATTTAATTTTTTTCTCACTAACAATAAGTGGATGCTGGCTATACTTGACCTTTTGAAGCAATGTGCTGCTGTCATTACCCAACAACTGCTGATAAGAGTCGCGCCGCACAGCAAACGAGCATCTTTGTGAATCCCCTTCAGACGCAAGGACACCTGCCATGGCCAACTTCCCCTGAAAGAGAAAAGCCATGAAGACACAGCAAAGGCCAAACCCTGGCTTGGATTTTCATGGGGAGGTTTTGTGTTTCTCTTCCACCCAGCCTCTGTTGAGTTGTATAGTTTATTAAACAAACTGCTTTGTGTAGGCTAGCATCATTCTTTCCTAGAACAGAATAAAATGATTCCAAGCGGGCCTTGCATATCAGAATTCCTCAGGAAAGTAAAAGAACACCATGCCTAAATCCTGTATCATAATGTGCCCAGCTTGACAACAACGTAGGTATTTGGAACTCATCAAAATATCTACTTCCCATCTCTGTCCATATTTCCTAGATTTCCTGGCAATTTCAGCAATCTTGTCTTTGGGTACTAAATGCACATTTGCTCATTATTCTATGCTCCACTTGAAAATGAATGAATAAAAATTCCAAATGGCCTGCCATCTCATTTCAGACTCAAGTTATCCACTTTTGATGAGCAGTTGATAAAATTACAAAGCTCTGCTCTTCTGTACCTGCTTCATCTGGGGTGTATTACTTCCTGACTGAACAAATCTGCACATGGTTGGGAGAAGGCATTTTGTCTGCGTAGATCTCTGCTTTCGTAAGTTGCAGTTTTGACTTTCAGAAGCTGCATTTTTAACCTAAATGACACATTGACCTTTCTAAAATGCACTTTTGCATTTGAGAAGACAATGGCATGCTTCTCTTCTCATAACTCTGCCTATGGGCACCATCATACTATAATGCCCCAGAAAATATTGTTCCACTTCAGAAGAAATATTGTAGAATTGGAACTGGAGACATTCTATGGGCATGCATGGACAGAAGAGGATATAATGGGGGCTAGAAATTTTGACACAATTCCTTGCTTTAATCTGACAGTTAACCTCAAACATGCAGTCCATTATAGAAAACCTGAGTGCTGCTATTTAAATCAAGGACAAAAGTATGTCTATCTTAAAGTATATACAGTAATGGGATGTCAAAAGTATAATTTACTTTTGGAGAAGGCAAGGGTGCAATTTAGGCTGGTCAAAAGTACAAAAGCAGCTTCTGAAGGTCAAAACTGCAATTGAGGAAAGTTAAAAGTGCATCTTAAGGTCAGAGGTGCCATGTAGGCAGGATCCGAGGCAAATACATGTGAACGAAAGAGAGTCCCACAGGGTCCAGCCGACTCGTCACATCCTGTCAGTTCTACTTTAATTTAATGGTGTATTTTCATGGCACCACAGCAACAGCTACAGAAATCCAGGAAAAATTGTGACTTCTTTAAGGAGTTGCAGCTCATCTATGTTCCCCACAAAGCTTTTTTTCCCTAAGTGCACATTAATGGATATTTTGTGACCCAACCCACACCTAAATCTCTGTCCTCCTTTTCACAAAGTTTGCATTTAGAATTGCAAAGCACGGTAGATTAGGCAGTTTCCTTCCTGCTTCCATTTGTTTATTCAGCTGTTATTGAGTTGAACAGAAAAGTCTGCTCCAAAAACTTTCCAAAGCGGAGTTTTATTTTATTTTTAAATTTATTTTTAGCAGTTCAAAGTGCTAAAACAAAGTTTTTAAGTAGTTTACAAGACTTACAGTAAAACAATTGTTTACCATTGGGGAAAAAAATTGACATGCACTTTCAATTCTTTATCTGGGAGTCTTACTTGTAAAAGTGTGCAATCACTTTTAAGCTATACTAGTCTCCTGGTCTTTCCATGTAGCTTCCTGGCAACAATAGGAAGGTGATTTTCTATTGCCTTGTGAAGGAAAGCCAGGTGCTTAATCCACAAAAGAAACAACAGTGATCATCTTGAAGAAGCTGAGTAGACCAAGGAGGCAGCAGGGGCACTTCGTCTGCTTCAGAAAAACCTGCACAAAACCTTCACAAAAACAGGTCTCAACAGCAATATTAGTTCATTATTGCTGTGCTAATGGTGGCCGGAGCATTTATAGTGTACATTTCTGCTTCTATTGATTCCTTGAGATTTGAACAGTTTTTTTTCAGGTGGTGGTGAATGGACTATTCAATATTGACTCTGGTAAGCTTGTTGTAGTATCTACAAAGTGTTTTGGTGACAACTTTATTTAGTTATTCTGTACACAGAATTCCTTGATACATCTTCTATGTCCAGAGTACTATCGAATCCAGTAGTCAAAGCATATAAATAAAATGCTTGGAAAATAGCTAAAATAGCTCTTTTTCTTTGTTACTATTAGAAATCCAAGATGGAGGAAGAGGATAGATTCAAAAGGTAATCAATGGCTAATTTGCTATGACATGGACTGTAGCCACTCTTTAAGAATGTCACTTTGAGCTCAGGTTTTGAGGGCTAACATCATTTCAAATATCTTCTTTCTCTGCAAAAATTGATTTAAAAATGGTGGCAGCTCAAGCAGGAGACCCTACACCATTTCTGAGAGATGGCAATCTACTCTCTTCTTGAAAGCCTCCAGTGATAAAGCTCCCACAACTTTGGAAGGCAAGTTGCTTCATTGGTTGATTGTTCTCACTATCAGAAAATTTCTCCTTATTTCTAGGTTGAATATCTCCTTGTTCAGTTTCCATCCATTGTTCCTTGTCTGGCCTTCAGGTGCTTTGGAAAATAGTTTGACCCCCTCCTCTCTATGGCAGCCCCTCAAGTATTGGAAGACTGCTATCCTTTCTCCCCTGGTCCTTCTCTTCACTAGACTAGCCATGCCCAGTTCCTGCACCCGTTCATCGTATGTTTTAGTCTTAAATCCCCTAATCATCTTGGTTACTCTTCTCTGCACTTGTACCAGAGCAGGGGTCCTCAAACTTTTTGAACAGGGGGCAGATTCACAGTCCTTGGGGGCCCAAATCGGTTGGGTGGGCATGGCCAATTAAGCGGTCCATTTTGCCTTTGTCCTTGCTGTACTGTAACCCAAGGAATCTATTTACTTAAGGCCACCCTCCCCCAAAGGGAAAAAGAGTACAAACTTTCTTGCCACTTGCCTAACTTCATTACAACAGCCGCTTCAGGCTCCTTAAAATAGGCCATTAAAAAAAGAATAAAACAAACAGGATTTCCTTCAAAATAACTCCTGATCATATGTTTCAGATGACCACACAATAAACCAGACTGCACATATCTTCCTATGTAGTGCAAAAAACCATGAAATAATACAATATTTAAAATGAATGAAATAAATTTTAACCAACATAAATATACTACTAATTCAATGGGAAGTATGGNAATTCCTTGGAAGTGAAAATTCAGCATGTAACAAATAACAGAAAATGTCACCTTTCTTGAAAAAAAAGAATGAAACAATTCATCATTTGATCAGCGGATGCAGTTAAATTTCACAAACTGACGACAAACAGTGTCATGATCGAGATGCCAAAATTATTCATTGGAAACTTTGCTGGAGGTTTGAATTTAAAAGTAGCAAAAGCGTATCGGAACAACGGTACCTGGGACAGGTTTTGGAAAATGAGCAGGTTAAAGTCTTATGGAACTTTAAAATTGAAACGGGCACCTTGCTCATAACCTGCCTGATATAATAGTCATTGAAAAGGAGAAATTGGTGTTGCTGTACCAGGTGATGCTGGGATTGAGGAAAAGCAGCTGAAAAAAATTACAAAATGCTGGGATTTGCTGATCAAAGTTGAATGCTGATGAAAAAAGAAACCAGCTGGTAAATCAATCGTGATTGAAGGCCTCAGAGTGACACCTAAAGGACTACCTCAATATTTGGAAGTTTTGAATTTATTGGAACTGAACACCCATATATACTTTAATAATTCCTAGATTCTTGGTTAGAACTTGAATACTAAGTCTTCACCAATCTTACATTGTGAATCTAACTGCAGATTACTCATAATAATAATAATAATGCAGCACAGCACATCAAATCAAATCAAACAAGCAGCAGAAAAAATAATTATAGATCCATCATCTATCTTTGAGGATTTTTTTTCCCAAAGAACTGAAAAGACTTTAATGTGATTGAAAAGTGATTCTCCCTGGATTAAGGAAGCATTAGACAGATTGCCTCCACTGAAAAAAAATCACTCATAGCCCTTTAATCAAAGCACTTTAAATTCATCCAGGGTAGATAGCAAACCACCCATTTCAGTCCATCTCAGATGACATTCTGGTCACCACGTTCTGTACAACAGAAATTCCTAGACTGCTTTCAAAGGCTGCAATAATCCAAATTAAGATTAGAAGGCTATGAAAAATTGTGGCAAGGATACCTGGTCCACATGAAGTACAGTTGGTGCATAAACAGAGGTGTGTTCCTACTGGTTCGGACCAGTTCGGCTGAACAAGTAGTAACTTGGCAGCCTGGGTCACTGGAACTGGCAGTGACCCAGGCCCACACCCCCGAACCAATTCTTCTAGTGGCGCCATAAGTGCCGCCATCTTGTTTTTTGCTTCTGCGCAATTTTAGTGGTACTGTGTATGCATGTGCATTGTGCAGCACATCTCTGAACAAACTGGCAGTAGTGGCTGCTGGAACCCAATTCTGCACATCAAATACATTTTGAATCATTGAAACAGTTTAAACTTTGTCACAAATGAAGGTTCCAGGTAACAAATTTGATCATTTAGGGCAGGGGTCTCCGGACTTGACAACTAGAAGACTTGTGGGCTTCAAGTCCCAGAGTTCCTCAGCCATCCATGCTGAGTGGGGAATTCTGGGAGCTGAAGTCCATAAGTTGCCGAGTTTGGAGATCCCTAATTTAGGGATAACACACTTTCCCTGCAGAAAAGAATGAATATTTCTCTCCTATGTGCATGTGAGTCCTGGCCTCTGTACTGAAGGCACATCAAATAACTGAAGAGATTGCATATGTGAGCTGTTTGCTCCATTCCTGGAATTTGTTGAGAAGACAATGTACCCAACATGGAGGTCTTCGATCAAACAATTCCCTAGCATTGATTATCAGAGTCCATATGAGATGGGTGGGACTCATCATCTGAATGGATGACCATGGTATGCATCACCCATTCTATACTGTATGGAGTCTAGGAAGAAATCATGCAAATGCTACAAAGACACTGTGAAAACTTTAAACTTTAATAGAATTTGTATGCCGCCCACTCCCTAGGGACTCTGGGCGGCTCACAACAAGTAAAAGCATTTAAAACATTTAAAAATACAGAATTAAAATCAACACAACATCCATTCCATCAAATGGGGCTGGAAATAAATCAACAGCCCCAGGCCTGCCGGAACAGCCAGGTCTTGGTCGTTTTACGGAAGGCCAGGAGAGGGGTGAGGGTCCAGATCTCTGCAGGTAGCTCGTTCCACAAGGCCGGTGCAGCTACTGAGAAGGCCCTCCCTTGGGGAGCCGCCAACCGGCATTGTCT